AAAAAAAAAAAAATCAAAATGGAAGAAATGGAAGAAAAATTACGTGCACACTTTATTAATTCTTATTATATTTTCCAATATATGTAATATTTATAAGAATGCAATTTATAATCTTTTTTACATTGTTGTATAAAATCATAAATTTCGTTTCAATAAAAAGAATTATATTTTTCATCCTATATTTTTTAAATTATAGTTTATCGAATTTTTATTTATATCTTTTCATCCATCTATAAATTTTCCATTGTTATTATTATTTATTTATTTATTTATACCGAATGAGAAACGTTTTACTTACGAATGAAAGAAAATGAACGTCGAGCGGGTTTTGTTTTACGAAATAGAAAAATTCGTGCTTCAACTTTGGAGCGTTATCTATTATAGTATTGCCACTATTATATTATTAATTTATTAATAATCCTACGATATCGTCTACTTTATTTACAACTCTATCTTAAGCCTAATATTCTATCATTCTTTATCAATTGCGTTATAGTGGAATTAGTTAAGTGAGAGGCACCATAGAATTTTTATATCGTACGATCATGCTCGTTTTACAGAGTATTTTTCTTTTTTTTCTTCTTCAATTTTCCCCGTTCATTCTCTTATCGACGTTTTTCACGAAACGAAAAATTCCATCAAATCGCGAGCAAGTTGAATTATGATATAATCGTGGAAATAAAAATTATTAATGGTACATCGATGGATTGACTAGAATTTCTGTGTCTTGTTAACAATTAATTATAAAAAGAATCTATTTCTTACAATTGAACTAATAATTATAATTAATCGTAAGAAATTCTTCGAATATCGTCAAGGAATAAAATGTGTCTAATTTTTTTTTAATTCTTTATCGTATAATAAATTCTTCCAAAATGTAACTTTATTAATTAATAAAAAAAAAAAAATAATTGAAAGTTATTTTATTTCAAACAGTTTTTGAAAATAATTTATCGAAAATTTGTTTCTTTTTAAAATATTTTCAAAATTTCGATTTGTTAAAACGAATTAAGAATTTGAAATGTATTATATAAAAGAGCGCGAAGAATTTTAAAAGACACAAAGAATTAAAGCGCTTACACGATCTTCCTTCCGCCCACTCGATTTCAAAATACTCCTAAAAGCAGCTTCGCTTGAGAAATTGTTTCCTACCTTGCTATATATATTATATATATATTATATACAAATTTGCATTACTTTAACAATATAAGTTAAGACGATAGATATTTTCAGTGCAATATTTCGCTCGACGATAAACGTAATCCTAGTTAACAAGAGACTGGTCCTTCCCGCGCAGAGATCGATTAAACCTTCGAGATGAAAGAGAGAGAGAGAGAGAGAGAGTATGTGTGTGTGTGTAGTCGTGAGTAGTCGAGATTAAAACGAGACGCTTTGCAAACACTTTCGTGAATTTCGAGAGATCAGATTTCGTGTGTCTCGCGAAAACGAATAATATAGGATTTCAAAATAAGATAAAGGATGCCCGTTGATTTTAACCATTCGAGTGAAAAATTTCTTTTTGTTTTATTCCTTTCAATAAAAGGATTATTCCAATCGATTAACTATTTTAAAGAATTAGAAAATTGATATTCTGAGATAATATTCTTTCTTCTTGAATAAATGAATATTTTTTTTTTAATTATTAAAATTTCTTTTTTTTTAAACAAGTGGTTATTTTCTATTATCGTTTTTAGATTAGCAGCTTCTGGATTTGGAAAGGATAGAGGATGTTATAAATAAATAAAATAAGTCATTCATTTGCACGTATGAGAACTTTGCAAATCTTCAGGAATTTAAAATAATAATTATTATTATTAAAATTTTATATATTCAAATAATTTGAATATATTTGAAATAATTTGAAATGTGATCTTGTTTGTTTAATTTATTAGTATAATCATTGCAGATTATTAAGCCTTGTAGAGAAATATATTTGGTTATTTTTCATCATATTTAAATTCTTTTATATTCTTTTACACTCGAATGGTCAACGAAGGATGAGAAATAAGAAGTAGGAAAATGTTTCTTGCACTACATCACGCACACTCACGCATACACACAAATCGCTTAGAAATTAGACGTGAGTTTTACGCATATAATATCTTAACGGTGTCGATTAATAATACGGTTTTTTACGTGCCGATACGTATTCGATAACCTACGTAGAAAATATAAATGTATTTATATCATAATATGTATATATATATATATGCAGAATATAATCCGATTTTCTGTTTCTCTTTCTCTTTTTTATTTTTATTATTATTATTATTATTTTACTCTTGAAATATGTATATATACACCGCCATTGTTTCTTTCATATATTTCGTGGCATATTAGAATGTAAGATTCTTTATGTTTTATATACGTCCACGAGCGGTATGGGCATTATACAGGATGTTCGTGATATAACGACGAGTTTTATTTAAAGCAATAAAAAAATATGTGGAAATGTGTGAATGAAAGTTTTTTTGAATATTTCCCCGATATTCTTGAAAATAAATAATTTCCAATTATTATTAAAATTTCTCTTTTCACGCATCGTTGTTTTGAATTTTCAATATTTTGTTAATAATTTTTTTATTAATAATTTTGTTAATAATTTTTTTTATTATTTCAACTTTTAAATAGATTAAAATTATTTGATACGCACTCTCGTACGACGTACGTGCGTAGCTCGTTCTGGTCTCGAGCATAATGTCGCGGTCGAATCACACAGTCGATACAAGCGACGAACGATTCTATTTACATCGCGTGTTCCATTCCCCTTTACAATACGAAACAAAACATATTTCCGAAAGGCATATACAATATTACGAACGAGATCAAAATGATTCAAATATTATCACTTTATAATTAATTCAATCATCAATTAATAATTTTTTTTATATAAAAAAATCTAATATAATAAAAAAAAAATTTAAAAACAGCAACTCGAATATCCTGTACATCCAAGTAATATTGCTTCATTCACTATTTGAAAGATCGCTAAAATGCAAGCCCAAAAGAATTTGCAGCTCGCAAAAGGAACGAACACCCATATCGAACAGGGTGATGCGATCTTTTTCTTTTTTTTTTTTTTTTTTTGTTTTTATAATAAAAATCTGTTCACTACAATCGTATGAGGAGACGATATTATTTCAACATTTTTATTATTTTTCAAAGCATTCATATGCACGTATATATATATATGTATAACGTTCTCGCGTATTCAATATAAGATGGCGCGTTTGTGCTAAAAATCGAAAGAAGGAA